TGTTATAAGATAAATATTATTTGCAGTTTTTAATCTCTTAAAGTGTTATAAGAATTTGAAATATTAGAATTTTGAGAAATAAAGTAAAAATGAATTGTATAATAGAATCTAAGGAGAAATTGTCTTTGATCAAAAAAATCTATAGCTGAAACAAAAGTACAATGTTTTTAGAAGATTCTTTTTCATAACACATACATAATTTTCAATTTTTCATTTATTCTCTATATTTTATGACTATTTAAAGATTATTTTGATTTTATGATGCTTTTACAAATAACGTTTTAGGCTTTTACAAAATTATATTATTATTGGAATTATAGCTTTGTTGAATTACGAGCTAAAGCTTTATTAAATTAGTGAATTATTGAAGCTATTATAGCTTTATTGAATTACAATTATATAACTTTATTGAATTTAGAGTCTTCAGGCCTTGGTTCTACAACGATATGTTATTCTCATTGACGTCAGAAGGAAGAAAACAAAAGAAACTCTTGAAAATATTGCACGGATTTACGGAAAAAGTATGTAATAAAACACCTTAAATTATATACTTCATACTTCATTTATATATAAAATAATATTGTTATTAATACAAAGATTCTTAAAAATTAAATATTGTATATAGATTATCGCAGAAAGAAAGCTTTATCACCAACTTACTAACAATCAGTATTTAAAAAATCTTGAAAGTAATGAAGAAACAGAAGATGTCGAAATATTTGGAAGTACGTAAGAGATCAAAATTTTTAATTTAAGTTTGACAGTGCAGTCAATATTTTAAATTATGCTTGTATCATTTATATTAAACACATATCCACTCGTAGTGGTTTGCTGCAAATCATTATTATTTGTAATAGAATTTAAATTTTAAACAAGAATTATATTATGAAATTAACGCAATATGCGAAAGTGAAATTGTTACTAATATGCTTGATTTCCAGTTAAAAAAAAGCGACTAGCCATGTTGGATCTTTTAATAGCGGCATCTCGAGAAAATTCTTTAACTGATTTGGACATCAGAGAAGAAGTCGATACTTTTATGTTTGAGGTATCTATTATTTTTTTAATTTTTTGTATACATCTCTCTCTCATAAGCATATATAACGATATGACAATATGATGATGATTACAGGCTCATGATACTACATCGATGGCTATAATATTTACTTTATTACTATTAGCTGAACATAAAGATATTCAGGTACTTATTTCTCATTATATTGCGATAATTATTTACATTTACGACTTTTTTTCTTAATAGTATGAACACCAAATTTTTGGTGCCATATATTTTATATATACATGGTGTTCTAAAAAGATATGTCAAAAATTTAAGGAGATATTCCTTACACCTAAAGGATGAAAAAATGTTATATATGGACATAAATACGGAAATGTTTTTTTTGAGGTTATGTTGAAAATACTGTTAGCTGTATTACTTACACAAGGAAAAATTTAATTATTGTAGACGGCAATTATTTAATTAGGCTTATTTACATTTAGTTTTAATGTGACCTTGAGTATGTTACAATAAATGTTGAAAATGTTCACTATTTTTCTGAATACAAGTAGTGACACATCAACGCATCGATTCATGGACACATTCAAAAATGCCTGATGTACAGCGGATTATCTCGCAACCTGCAGTGATACGGTCACGAAGGTCTTGAATATCACGCACTGGTGTAGTATGTACGATTGTCTTTAAATGTCCTCACAAATAAAAGTCTATCTGATTGAGATCCGATCACTGCTTGTAGATATTTGTTGCTTTAGGAAAACGATGAACATTTTCAACATTTATTGTAACATACTCAAGGTCACATTAAAACCAAATGTAAATAAGCCTAATTAAACGATTGTCGTTTGCAATAATTAATCCTAAATTTTTCCTTGTGTAAGTAATACAGCTAATAGTATTTTCAACATAACTCTTGAAATAATCATTTCCGCACCTATGGTCCATATAACATTTTTTTATTCTTCAGGTGTGAGGAATATCTTCTTAAATTTTTGACATATCTTATTAGAACACCCTGTATATGTTACGAGCAAAGTCCGCAAGGTGTACAGTGTACAGAGTCGACATTGTGCGGGCGATGTCAGTATTGCATAACGTTTTTAGGCAAAGTCCGCTGAAATGGTTTATTAATGATATCATCCGGATTGATGTAGGCAAAGTCGACACTGCCTATTCAGCGATAGCAATGTCAATAACTCCTATTATATTGCAAACTTCGTCCAGTTCCAAGTAGGCAAAATCGACATTGCTAATTCTTCATGGATGAAGCTGCGCGTCCGTATTGTGTAGTCTTGATTTCTCAATAAAACGTAAAATGAAAATTCAACATAAGGTATAAATATCTCTTCTATACATTCGCTTAGCGCATGAATACAGCAATTAATTAGTTTTAATTTGCGACTTAAAATAAAAAATTTTAATGTTTAGTTTCGACGAGCAATAATATCCTTAAATAACATATTTTATTTAACTGTACTTAATATTTACCTATTATATATTTATTTTATGTAACTGTACCTAAGTATAACGACTATTTTCATATGCTAGACGAATATGTAGAAGAGTATGAATGTTATGTTGAATTTTTATTTTATGTTAATTTTATATTAATATATACGTTATATTTTTGTTTTAGTCTGCGACTGATTAAAAATTAAGGTCATTGTAATAATTAAAAATATTTGCGCTTTATTCTCATTTATATTCAAATAAATATTTTCAGATTTGTACCTAGTCAATCTATTAAATCATCACTTAACAATTGAGAAATCAGGACTACACAATACGGACTAGCGTAACTTCGCACATGAAGAATTAGCAGTGTCGACTTTGCCCTCTTAGAATATTCGCAATATAATAGTGATTATTGACATTGCTATAGCCGAATAGGCAGCGTCGACTTTGCCTACATCAAACCGGGCTATGTCAGTTAATAAACCATTTCAGCGGGCTTTGCCTAAGAACGTTACATAATACTGACATCGCCCGGCAATGTCGGCTCTGCACACCTTGTGGACTTCGCCCAACATACACACACACGCGCGCGCGCGCGCACACACACACGCACGCACACACACACACATTCACTCACTCACACACTCACACACACATGTATATATTAGTATATATATTTTTAAAGAATTAAAACAGTTGTAAAATAAATATATATAATTGATTTTAATTTCTTAAGAATTTATTTGCCTGCGCACGCATCGAAATCATAATAATTAGAAAAATATTTTAATTATTATCAATAACACAGGAGCGTGTGAGGGTTGAGGTTGATAATGTGATGCAAGAGGACAAAGGAAAACTTAATATGAGATCATTGCAAAATTTATCATATTTAGAAAGATGTATAAAAGAAGCTTTACGTTTGTATCCCAGCGTGTTTATGGTAGCACGACATGTTGCAGAGGATATAAAATTGAGTAATTAATTATTAGATTTATATATATATTATATATATTTTTCAACGTGTTACACCACGAAGTATATATCATCGTATGTAAAATAAGATTAATACACATTAGTATTTTAAGAATATAATATTATATTATATCTTATTTTCCTCAAATAACTCTTATTTTCATACATTTTAGAATCTTTTAATTTCACAATATCCTTTTCAGAATCATGTGTCATACCGAAAGGGACGATCTTAGTTCTTAACATTCTCGGAGCTCACAAAGATCCTAAGTTTTGGCCAAATCCAGAAATATTTGATCCGGATAGATTCTTGCCTGAGAAGATACAGAATCGTCATCCTTATTCCTACTTACCTTTCAGCGCAGGGCCGAGGAATTGTATAGGTAAATTAACTATAATTTTATTTGTCCTCGCTTGTCGATCACTTTTAATAAATTTCGCATTGTAGGTCAACGGTTCGCTTTCCTAAAAATGAAAGCTCTGATTGCTCCTTTGGTGCACAATTTTTATTTGGAGCCCGTTGAATATTTAAAGAATATCCGGTTGAAAGCACATATGATAATTCGTCCTTCTCATCCAGTTCATATAAAATTCATTCCAATCAAATAGTTTGATTGGAGTTTTATATGAACTGGATGAGATCTGAATTGTAGGATATATATATACTTTCACGATTAAATGTAATGTTTATATATATATATATATATATATATATATATATATATATATATAATCATTCCTATCCTACCATACAGATTTCTAGATATCCAAATTTATTATGCATAAGCGTATTCTATCGTTATCTGCAATTGCAATGAACGCGTACATACATATAATGATTTATGAAGTGAATGAAATTAATATTTTTCTACGTTTCATTCAATACGAACCAATGTAGAAAAAACACATTATTGTTTGCAAATAAAATTTTTCTTGAAATTGTAAGTTAGTATAAGTTTAATTATATTAAGAAAATATCTATGGTCGCAGATATTTTTCAAAAGAAATCTCACAAAATCGCTCTGGAGAAATTCGACGTGGAAAAACAATCGCAATATCTGCAATTGCATATCTCTTAATCGCTAATTTACTTCTAATTTTACTCTACTCTAAAAAATTCTACTCTATTAAAGTTTTAACGATATAATTTTAAGAACAAATTAGGAAATTTTTATCTAGTTTTTTCAACAAATTACCCTAATTTATAAGAGCTTCGAGAATTGTTTCAGTTTTAATTTTAACTCGTCAAAGAATATCTTGTCAAAATTTGAAACCAAAAATTGAATATATACGGCATAAACAAACGGGATGTGAAAAGAAAAAAAGAGATGTAAGTTTTTAACTGTTTAAAATTAATTTCTTTGAAAATTTCTAAAAAAGAATTCTGTGTATTTCTCAAAAAAGATTTCAGTATATTTCTCATTTATATTTCATTGTGGGACTAATCTTCTTTTTTTATTTTGCAAAAAATTTCTTTTATTTTACCGATAGAACAAAAATTGAAAAATAACACATTAACTCAATAATATGTATATAAAAATATATAATATATCAATAATATATAAAAAACATAAGCAGTAAGCAATGGGGATATGATCGTAGTACAAGTATTAATGTGAATCGATTATTAGATTTAAGCAACTAATCAAAAATGCCGATTTCCTTAATGTTAACATTATGTAGCTTACATTTTTTTATATCCCGTAACATTTATTTCTAACGTCGTTAACCTTATTTTTGTTTCTTTAGATAACAGTTTAAAAACTTTATCTGTAACCAATAAAAATATAAAAATATAAAATACTATATTTTTTATATTGTTTTTCAATTTGTTTAGTTATAACACGATAATAAAATTTATATATATGATTTTTAACATCGCTATTATATTATTTTACTTTAATCATTCTCCTGATGAGAACCAAGAATCGGACTTTGTATATGATTTAGAAAGACCACCGGTCCGAAGTTGATCATCATTTTCACCATTCGAGCAATTTCTGGACGCTCTGATGCCATTATGTAAAAACACGTTGTGCCCATAGAATGACCAATACATGTGTGCAATGGTTGGGATCTCAAGTTCGTAATAAATGTAACCATCGCGGATACATCATAGATGTCTATTTCGTCAAAGCTATTGAAAAATTTAATCTATAAATCAATATAAAATAAAAATATAAAATATATGTAAAATATATGTAAAATATAAAATATATAAAATATATAAAATATATAAAATATGTATATATCACACATAAACACACACCCAGAGAAAATAAATATATTGTATACATATGTATATAATATGTATATTAAGTTACGCACGTAATATAATCAGAAACTAAAATTTTGCACAAAAAATTATGTACATAAAAAATCAAGAAAAATAACAATAAATGCATTATATTGGCACATTTAAATGTGAGATATCTTGAATACAATGCATTTTCAAAAGTGTAAGTAAATATATATAAAAGTTCTTGTGTATTACGTCAAATTATAATGATGTTGTAATAATTATTATTATCTTATTTTTATAACACATTCTTATTCCTATTTTATGTTGGTACCTGAAATCCCAAAATGTCGGATTCGACGGAGATAGGGAAATATGTGTCTTCGAGTTGGTAGTAACGAAAATTCCCCAACCAAACATCGTATTCCTGATCTGCTAGTAAATAAGCTAAAATAAAAAAGGTGTTGTGATTTCATATTATATATAATATTAATTTCTAAATCTTCTAATTTTTTTTACGATAGAAATAAAATTAACAATGTTATATCAGTTTTGCTATACACACTGAGAAAAAAATCTGGTTGCATTAATTAGAATTCTGATTCAAGATTCGAATTCTAGATTCAACCAGTATGTCTGTTAGAAAATGGACGAACCAGAATTCTTGTAGGAATTACCAGATGAATCTGATTAATTTCTTCCTGTTAAATTTACCAAATTTTCTGGTTAATAATACTAAATTCACCAGCATCAAGTGGTTTAAAATTGTTTCCATCTAATCTTAAAAGTCTGTTTAAAATTCTGAATTCCAACAAGATTATTGGATAAATTCAATCCAGATTATTGAATAAATTATTTTATACAGTTTGTTGGAAATTAAACTGATAAACAGTGATACAAGAAAAGGATGCAACTCAAACACACACAATCAGAGAGCGTCCTCTTTCTGCCACTACTGCTCGTAAGAGGAAAAAGATATCCTTTGGATTTAATGTTAATACTAGTTCTTTATATACATTTATATACATTTCATACATTATATACATTTCATGGCAAATATTGAATACGAGTTAAGTTAAGAGTAGCTTGTCGCCTGGCGCAAGCAAAAAAATTAGTGCAATAAGAAATTTTATAGATCCAACCAGAAAATACTAACCAAATCCTTATAGTAAAATCTATCCAACGTTCTAGTTATAAAAAATCGAGTCTTATGACAACTAGAAATTCTGATTTGATTTAACCAAAATGTCTTTAATCATATACGTCTTGTTAGTACAATCAAACGATTTTTCTCAGTGCATGTATGCGTTTAAATATTGGTAATGATCATACGGAATGCTTTGTCTTTGCCAGGAATAAGCCACTTAGAGGAGCTGGCTGTAAGACCGTGCAACAGCAGCACGGGTAAAGAATCGTTGCCACCTGGAATACGATGTAATGTCAAGAGATAACCGTCCTCCGTCTTTATAACGTGAGCTTCCACGGGATATCCAGCTTTTCTTATCATCTCCGGCTGAAAGAAGAAAACTGTGTAAGAAAAAGGAAAAGTTGGCCTAAACTTGAAATTTTGTGCGATAACAAGTGCATATTATATATATTTTCAAATTAATAGGGCAATTCTCTACAATACAAATAATATAAATATAATACTATAATATCAAAAAAAGATGAAGAATCAATGTGTATATATGTAAAATTATAATAGTAAAAATAATCATGAAGTTTAAATTAAAATCAAATGGACATTAATTTTAGAGATTATGCATGATAATAGGCAGTAGAGTCTAACAATAAATAAAAAACAATAATATACATATATGAAGTTGATGAGTTTCTCCTAAAATGTGTTCACGCGATCGTGAAATTATCACGAAATGTGATATTTAAAGATTCAATCGGAATTGTATTTCAACAGAAAATTTTTATTACTTACATTGTTAAACTGTTCGCGATCATCACCACAGATCATAGACATTATATTAGAACAAAATTCAATGTTCTGATCGCAGATATCTTTCAAAAGAAATCTTACAGAATCACCGAGGAATTCATCATGAAAGAACAATTGCATCACCATCTGCAATTAAATATCTTAATAATAATGTAATTTATTGTAAATCTTGTAACTTTCCTTGTCCGAGTTTTGTTTTAATTTTGGGAATAAATTAATAAATTTTTAACCAATTTTTTAAATCTATTAAAATAATTTATATAAAAGCTTTAAAAATCGTTATAAATTTAATTTTAAATCGTCAGAGAATATTGCCTTAAAATTGTAACTCAAAATTGAATATGTACAGCATAAACAAACAAAATGTGAAGCAAGAAAAAAATATGAAAGATTTTAAATGTTCAGAGTTAATTTCCTGAAAGGAAGTTTTATTAAAAGAGCAATCTAGTGCATTTACCATTGATATTTTATTGTCAGACAAATTTTCTATTTTGCCAGAAATTTGTTTCATTCTATTGATAGGATAGGAATTGAGAAATAATACGTTATAATGTTATTAACATAAAGTGAATATATGATTGTGTTCATTTATTGCTTACAATAAAATAATGTAAGCAATAAATGAGCACATCGATCAATCATAGTCAAGTAATAATATGAATTGACTATTAAATTTAAGTAGCTAATATATCAAAAATATTGATTTGGTTATTGCTACCGTCATATTCCTTTCATTGTTTATGTGCCATAACATTTATTTCTAACGCTGTTAATTATTTTTCCTTTCTTAAATAACAGTTTACAAACTTTACCTCTAATAGAAAAGTACTTTATTTAAAGATGTACTTAATTTTTCCACATTGTTTTAAATAATTATTACACGAAAGCAAAAATTAAGTGTTTATCTTTTAATACTGTATCACATTATATTATTTTACCTTAAGCACATTTTTGAAAGGGATCAAATATTGTATCGGACTCTGCATGTAATCTGTAAAAACTGCTGGCGCGAGACTGATCATCATTTCCACCATTTTAGCGATTTTCGGGCGCTCTGATGCCATTATGAAAAAACTGGTTGTGCCTATAGAATGATCAATATATGTGCAATGGTTGGGATCTCATATTCGTGATAAATGTAATCATCGCGGCTGAATCATAGATACCCATTTCGTTATAGCTAACGAAAAATTTAATTAATATATTATAAAATATATAAATATGTACACGGTGACATACAAACACACACACAAGAAAATAAATATATTATATAAACATGTACATAATATATATAGCGTGTTCCTTAAAAGCAGAAATTAAAATTTTGCACACAAAATAATTTACCAACAATCAAGAAGAACAACAATATTTATATCGACACAAGAAAATGTGAGATATCTTGCAAATGATGCATTTTCGAAAAAATAAGTACGTATATAAGTGTAACAAATCCTTACGTATTACGTCAAGTGAAAACAAATATAGTAACAATTATTATTATCTCATTTTTATAACATTATTATTCTTATTTTGCTAGTACCTAAAATCCCAAAATGTCAAATTGGACGGAGAAAAGGAGATATGTGCCTTCGAGTAAATATTACCACGAAAATTACCCAACCAAACATCATATCCCTGATCTGCTAAAAGGTAAGCTAGAATTCAAAAAAATTGCTTACAATATTTAACAAGTAACTTACTTTCCATATAATATCTTAGCATACATATAAGATTAATTTTCAAATTTTGTGGCATCTTTATGATAAAAGCGAAATTGACGATATGATTTTATGATACATATATGATGAAAAATTGATTGACGATGGTACCTAATGCTTTGCCTTTGCCAAGAACAAGCCAGTCAGCGGAGCTGCCTAAAAAACCATGCTGCAGCAGCACGGGTAAAGAATCGTTGCCACCTGGGATACGATGTAACGTCAAGAGATAGCCGTCCTCCGTCGTTACAACGTAAGATTCCACAAGATAACCCGCTTTTCTTACCATCTCAGGCTGAAAAAGGACTGTATAAGAAAGAGGAAAAACTGATTTGAATTTAAAATAAATTTGAGCAACAAGAAATGCATAATATATTTATTTTCATAGGCATAAGCATGAAAATATACATATTTCACGTTATTTTACATTTCAAAATATTACATATTAATATTTTATATTATATATATTATATATATTAATATTTTAATATATATATATTATATATATTAATATATATTATATATATATTAATATTTTATATTATATATATTATATATATTATATATATTAAATATTTTACATTTCAAATTCATAAATAAATAATAGAAATTTAATGTCAATTGATCAGTATTAATAATTAAATATTACATCAACACTCCAAAAGCGATCAAAATATACAAAAATACTCTTCTATATTTTTAAAGACTATAATGTAGTACAATTTTGCAAAACTATGTGATTTTCGTTCTGAACAAGAGAACACGGCCGGTAACAGTCGATTACTTTTTATCAGTTTCAACAACATTGAAGAAATTAATTGAAACATTACAGATTTTAATTCTCATTTCTATTCTTCATTGAATGAAAACTTTCATTTACCGTGTCGAGAATGGAATCAGGATTCAATTCGATGTTGAACTGATTCCAATCAGTCCATATTATTCTTCTAATGAGCACACTTAACTCAGAGGTCACATTTATCGGAGCCGCTCTAAAATGACTACAAAACGGTAGCAAAAACATGAGCCCGATCAATTTCATTTCAATGAATGATTCAATAAACAGTGAAAGAAAATAAGGATAATTCGAGAGTTTTTTGGAGTATTGAGATATATATCGTTGAAAATTAAGCAGAACACGCGAAAATGATAGATGTTACTGCGCGACATAGATACTAACTGCTTTTCACACGTTGCGTACCATCATATTAGAATAAATCCTCATTTCACTTCCGTCTATTTTTTATCAACTAGAAAAAAAGAATATGAAAAAGATATTATTGTATTATTAGTGTATTATTATTGTACTAATGTCTTATTATTGTACTAATCATTATTGTATTATTAATCATACGAGCACAAAAGCATTTCGATAAAAATATAAATTTATATGTAAGCAGTTATCCTTGTCTTCAATATGTGTACATACAGGATGGCCAAATGAAAAGGCAGGAAGATAATAAAATGCGTAAAATTAAATTATAAAATAAATGTAAAATTAACGTAAAATTAAATTATAAGATAAAGAATTATTGTGACTTGAGCGAGAAGTATCGTGTGGATCAGAGTGAAAAGCAGTTGTCGATTCGATTTTGTAGAGAGGAATCGTCCCTTCCGGTACTTCCTCTAAATAGAAATTCTTACAAAAATGCCGTGATAGAAAAAGTTCCGTCACATATAAATACAAAACAAAACTTCTTGCTCCCGAATACCGAACAAATTAATTCGATACATGTTCGATTATTACTAATATTTTGCATACTGTTATCCTGACTTTCGGGAAAACAACATTTGTTTCGAAGAGAAAAAAACCTGTTTTCAACAAAATAGATTGCCCTTCCCTGTTACTGGCAACATGTCATATTAAAATTTAAATGTTAAGTCTTATGTATACAATATAAATTGCTAAATTTACAGCATAAACTAAAAAACGTATATATGAAGAGTAATTATTATTTTTAATCCTTGGATTCAACTTTTATCTGCTACGAAAAATTTGTTGCTAATTCTTATGTCGCTTTCTATCTGTTTTATTGCAATTTTCGAAAAACTTCTGCCAAAATCAAATATATATGTACATCTTATAATATAAAATATATATATGTATATATTCTTTATAAAATTATATATACATTTATTCGATTATATTTGAGCAATTTTTCCCACAGCAAATTCAAATGATTCGAGTAACTTCTGTCATAATATACAAAGGTCAATGTACAAAGTTCAATATACGTAGATCCATATGCATATGTATGATAAATCGCAAAAAAGAATCGCTTGAGGAATTATATAAATTCAATTAATTTTTTGCCTAAATTACAGTTTTGAATTAAAAAGCGGCAATCGTTTTCAAGCATTTCTTGATAGCATTTAAAGAAAACTAAGAAAAATAAAAATTTTAGTTCTCATTTTAATGAGTTATAAAGATACACTTACATTTTGAGAATTACATAGAGATTTTAATGTTCGGTGAAATCCAGTTAATGCAAATATTCTTTTGCCTTGACTCAAATGTAATAACATTTACCAGCTGAATCGGAATGACCGCAATATGTCACTAAATACATATACTCGATCAATCTCATAGCATCGGTCGATAAAGTGATTCTATAAAAAATTTAAAAAATGAACAATGTAATAATTTTGCGATGTATTATCGAAGAAAATAAAAATAAAAGTAAAAGTGATAAATACAACAACATGTTACAGTTGGGCACTTATTATATCACTTACTGTTACAACAAAACTTTATTTTATTGGTGATTTTCTTGTATTAATTATAAGGTAAAGAAAGAAAAAATATTATCGTCTTATTAGCCATACAATCATAACATATTTCGGAAAATGTATATGGTAGAAGATAAATTACCGAAATTGTAATAAACAACATTAAACTACCAGCAAGAACATTACAATGTAATATATATAATATATAAGTTTATATGTATAATATTGTATTGTTTAAAAATTTTCAAAAAAATCCAAGAAAATTAATTATTTTTATTACAAATGGATAGAAACTATATATATAAAAAAAATTGGTGAAGTATTATCCATCATATTATGTGTCGTATAATTCGGAAAATACATTGTAATCGCAAAAATAAAATTAAATGACTCAAACACCAAAATGAATATAATATTAAACATCTTAAACAATAGGTCTAATAATCATATATAAAACAAGACAAGTGAAAAATAACTGGGAATTAAATGTTTCTACATTAATTGTTTCACTTACGAATTATAAAACAATTTTGCTTCCGATGAACGCTTAGTAAACATTTTTAGATATTGTAAAGAATACTAAGATATTATAAGTTTACATTTGATTAAATGAATGATTATAATCATCACATTACAATATTACTGAAAATCTAGAGTGTAACATTTATCTTTAATTTTGATTGTTGACAATATTATTTGATTGATGTAACGTTTTTTGGATTTTCTCCTTTCATGATCTTGAGAATCCTATCGTATACCAGTTTTGGCGCATCTTTTGCCCATATAAAATCCACATGATTAAATTTGGACCACGGCACTTCGTACATATCCACTACATTGGACAGTGAATGGTACAACCTTTTCACATCCTTGAAGATATATTTTTGTAAGTTATCGTATGCGATTTCTTTTAAATTACCTTTCCAATTAAGTAATTTAATATTGGATTTATAGTATATTTATAGTCAAGTAATTTCTTCCGATATACATTTCCATTATTTTTAAATAAATATCCATTACTTACCTCTGTGTCAACTATCCAGTCATTATCGGCGTAAAACAACGCGATTGGTACTGTGGTATTCGATAAATTATAATTTGGTGGTTCCGTCGAATTATAAATCAATAGATTTCTCTCGCGACCGTAATTATATTTGCGAAACTTGCCTGATTCAAATACCTGGATGAAATGCAGAATAGTCTTAATCGAGGTGCCGGCCGGAGCATTTTTCAAGATGACAGGCAATAGAGTCTAACAATAGATAAAAAATAATAATGATATATATAAGAAGTTTCATATGAAGTGTGATCACGCGATCGTGAAATCGTCACGGAATGCAATGTTCGAAGATTCGATCCGAATTGTATTTCAACAGCAAATTATTATTACTTACAATGTTAAACTGTTCGCGATCATCACCCCAGATCATAGATATCATATTGAAACAAAATTCAATGTTCTGGTCACAGATATCTTCCAAAAGAAATCTTACAGAATCACCGAAGAATTCATCGTGAAAGAACAATTGCATCGCCAACTGCAAATATCTTAAATATCTTAATAACAATGTAATTTATTGCAAATTTTGTAACTTTTCATGTCCGAGTTTTCTTTTAATTTTGAGAATAAATTAATAAATTTTTAATCAATTTTTTAAATTTATTAAAATAATTTATAAAAAAAGCTTTAAAAGTCATTACAAATTTAATTTTTAATCGTCAGAGAATGTCTTAAAATTATAATTGTAATCCAAAATTGAATATATACATAACCAGCATAAACAAACAAAATGTGAAGCAAGAATATATACATAACCAGCATAAACAAACAAAATGTGAAGCAAGTGAAAAATATGTAAGATTTTAAATAATGTTCAGATTTAATGTTCAGATTTAATGTTCAGAATTAATTTCCTTAAAGGAAGTTTTATTAAAAAAGCAATAAATAGTGCATTTATCATTGATATTTTATTGTCAGACAAATTTTCTATTTTGCCAGAAATTTGTTTCTTTGTATTGATAGCATAAGAATTGAAAAATAATACATTATAATATTATTAACATAAAGTGAATATATGATTGTGTTCATTTATTGCTTACAATAAAGTAATGTAAGCAATAAATGAGCACATCGATCAATCATAGTCAAGTAATAATATAAATTGACTATTAAATTTAAATAGCTAATATATCAGAAATATCGATTTGGTTATTGCTATCGTCATATTCTTTACATTGTTTATGTGCCATAACATTTATTTCTAACGTTGTTAACATTATTTTTCCTTTTTTAAATAACAGTTTACAAAACTTTATCTCTAATAAAAAAGTACTTTATTTAAAGATGTACTTAACTTTTTCGCATTGTTTTAAATAATTATTACATGATAGTAAAAATTAAGTGTATATCTTTTAATACTGTATCACATTATATTACTTTACCTTAAGCTCATTTTGAAATGGGTAGAAGTATTGTATCGGACTCTGCATGTGGTTTTTAAAGACTGCTGGTGCGAGACTGATCATCTTTTGCACCATTTGCGCGATTTCCGGACGCTCTGATGCCATTATGAAAAAACTATTTGCGCCCATTGAGTGACCAATATATGTATGCAATAGTTGGGATCTCATATTCGTGATAAATGTGATCATCGCTGGTGAATCATAGATGCCCATTTCGTTGTAGCTAATGAAAATTCAATCGATATATCATAAAATATATAAATATGTACACGATCACAGTCGCGATCACACATATATAGAGAAAATAAATATCAAGAGACACAGTAGTGTCTTGTGCTAAGTCCCGCGTAAGCAACAAGACGCGCCGTGTATCTTTACGTGAGTCGGATAGTTGGAGATATTCGAGATTATCATATTGAAATAATCGCTGAACGGATCGAGTTCTTATTAGGCTTAATGGATAGCTTGAGATTGATTTATATAAGAAAAGTGTCTTTATTTTTGCTCTACGTGCATCGTGAACAGCAATATTATGATCCAAAGTTAAAATATGAAAAATTTTCATTAAGAAACGTCTCCTTGGTCATCGTCGCTCAAGTCCCCAATGCGCAAGCGTAAAAAGTTGTACGTTTGCCGCATTCGACGTAAGATTGCGCTAGCGGCGCTCCGTGATGTTAAGACTATTATATACAGAGTGTCCCATTTTAATCGATGGATCCAAATTTCTCCTAAACTACGCCAGCTACAAAAAAATGTTTCAGACAAAAGTTGTATGGCTTGAAGGGAAACATAAGGTGGTGTCATTAGTTTGACATTGAAAAGTCACCTAAAGGTTACGTGAAGATCACATCCAACTTTTTAAATGGGACATCCTATATGCTTTTGCATATTTTTTTAGTTCATCTCGAGAACTTTCCGAAATACTATAATTAAGTTAATTTTCATTAAGTAGTTTTCGAGTTATGAGACTTGAAATCATTTCTTAATTTTACATAAGTCGTAAAATATCTAGTAAAATATTCATTTTTCGATTATCTTATCTTAATACTTTTATACTTAATACTTTTATCTTAATACTTTTACGTACAAAATAATAAGCAGAATCAAATGGTGTAAAGAAAACATATAATTGTTTAAGAAAAAATATGGAATTGTTAATTGCAAATTGCATATTTTTTTTCCTCGGAACAGTTATATGTTTTCTTTACACCCCAATTGATTCCTCTTATTATTTTGTACACAAAAGTATTAAGATAAGTTAAACAAAAAATGAATATTTTACTAGATATTTTACGATTTATGTAAAATTAAGAAATGATTTCAAGCCTCATAACTCGAAAATTACTTAATGAAAACTAACTTAATTATAGTGTTTTGGAAAGCTCTCGAGATAAACTATAAGAATATATAAAAGCATATAGAGTGTCTCATTTAAAAAGTTGGATGTGATCTTCACGTAACCTTTAGGTGACTTTTCAATGTCAAACTAATGACACCACCTTATGTTTCCCTTCAAGCCATACAACTTTTGTCTGAAACATTTTTTTGTAGCTGGCGTAGTTTAGGAGAAATTTGGATCTATCGATTAAAATGGGACACTCTGTATATAATAGTCTTAACATCACGGAGCGCCGCTAGCGCAATCTTACGTGGAATGCGGCAAATACATATACTGTTTTTTACGCGGACTTAGCACCTTTTTTTACCTTTTTTTTAAAAGGGTAATTTTTTAGAGATATTATATACGTAAGTATATAAAATATAAAGTGTTGCATAAAAGCAGAAAAAAAATTTTGCGCAAAAAATGATTTATCAACAATCAAGAAGAAAAGCAATATACATATTGACACAATAAAATGTGAGTTATCTTACAAATAATGCATTCTCGAAAAAATAAGTACGTGTATATAAATGTAACAAATGTAACAAATGTAACAAATGTATAAATGTAACAAATTCTTGCGTATCACATCAAATTATAACTGATATTGTAACAATTATTATTATCTTATTTTTATAACACAATAATATTTTTATTTTACTGGTACCTGAAATCCCAAAATGTTGGATTCGACGGTGACAGGGAAACATGTGCCCTCGAGTAAATATTACCACGAAAATTTGCCAACCAAACATCATATCCCTGATCTGCTAATAGGTAAGCTAAAATTCAAGAAAATTGATTACAATATTTAACATGTCACTTTCTATATCTTTGTATACATATAAGATTAAATTTCAAATTTTGTAACATTTTTATGATTAAGGCGTAATTGACGGTATGATTTTATGATACATATATAATTTCAAAAATTGATTGACGATCGTACCGAATGCTTTGTCTTTGCCAAGAACAAGCCAGTCAGCGGAGCTGCCTAACAAACCATGCTGCAGCAGCACGGGTAAAGAATCGTTGCCACCTGGGATACGATGTAACGTCAAGAGATAGCCGTCCTCCGTCATTACAACGTGAGATTCCGCAGGATAACCCGCTTTTCTTATCATTTCCGGCTGCAAAAAGACTGTATAAGAAAAAGGAAAACTGATATAAACTGGGAATAAATTTGAGCAACACGAAATGCATAATATATTTATTTTTATAGGCATAGGCATGCAAACATACATATTTCACATTATTTTGAAATAAAAAAAAGAAAGAAAATTTAATGTTAATTGATCAGTATTAATAATTATATATTAAATTAACTTTCCAAAAGCAACAAAAATATATAAAAATACTATTCTATGTATTTTTAAAGACTATGATATAGTATAATTTTGCGGAATTATGCGATTCTCGTTTTGAATAAGAAAACGCGGCACATCACTTTCTATCATTTTCAACAACATTGAAGATATTAAACAAAACATTAAAGATTTTAATTTTCGTTTTTATGAATAAAAACTCTCACTTACCGTGTTGAGAATGGCATTAGGATTGAATTCGAGAGAAATGTTTGACTGATTCCGACTAGTCCATATTATTGATATATAAATAGCATTTTTATAGACAATAAAACAGACTTAAGCAATAAAATATACTATAAACAATGTTCTTTTCTTTGCATAATTCCTTCGTAAACTCGACATCTTGTCTTGTCATGTTATTTTCGATGTCAATCATTTTTAATGACGCAACTTAATCGACTTATTTATTAGATTAATGACATATGTAAAATTTGCATATAGCGAACTATAATCTTTATTTCTTATCTGATATTCTATTATCGTTTTGTTGCAATTGTAAGATAATGATTATAACAATAACTACTAATACTAATCATTTCATTTTATTTTAGCTGAATAGAAGATGTGCAATAGATAAATCTGTTGATTATAGATAGACCAGAAGTTGTACAAATCGAGATTTTATTATTCTTCTGTATCAGTCTTATATTGAACCTTCGTGTACTCTAATAAATAAAAATCTACAATATGTTAAATAAGGGGGGAGAGAGAGAGAGAGAGAGAGAGAGAGAGAGAGAGAGAGAACAAAAGATATATATATATATATATATATATATATATATATATATCTTATAAAAATTCTGATGCAAACATTCTTCGATTTTGAACTTTGAATATGTTATGTAAATTAAATTAAGAGCCTTGTTTATTTTTTAATTTATTCTCTTTCATTGTGAAATATAATTTTTTATATGAGCTGGAGAATATAAAAACGGCTAAACGTAGTCTTTAGATTATTATTATCAGTCCGCGCAGATTTGTTGTACTGACTTATTTGTTCGTTTAACGAGATGTATAATTGTATTTGAATCATTTCGATTGTGTTTCCATCGCATCAGAGACTCTATCAGGTAATCTTTATAATATTTGTATAAAATAATATTTGTATAAAATAAAACTATAGCATTCCATTGTAAAATCCCAAATATGAATATATTTAATGTAAATATATGAGCATAATTAATGTAAACGCGTTTTAACACAGAGATTCTTGCAAATACCATAAATTATTAATTCTGTTTGATTACTATAATTATATTAAGTTATTATAACATATATTATAATATTTTATATTATTATCTTATTAAATGTATATTAAGTTAATTTTGTAGTAATTTTTGATACAATAATTTAGATACAAAAAATTGATGCCAAATAATTAAAATAAATAAGAAAAAACATAAACACGCTATTTAATATCAATCGCGATAATTATATAATTTACATATTATATGCGACATTTACATTTATATTATAATACGATGATGATTTTGAAAAAAAAAGCAGAAAAAAATTTCAATATAATCCTTTGTTTATGATAGAATTTGCAAATACTTAATTAAATAGCTCCTGTTTATTATAAAGTAACACTGTATCCTTGAATGTAAGCGGACATTAAGATATGATCGTTTACAAATATTTCTTTACAGTTATAGAATAAAATTATAACAATGTTAAAAACAACTTAATAAATCTTTGATATAAGAAATGCAAGAATAACACACACACACACACACACACACACACACACACACACACACACACACACACACACACACACACACACACACACACACACTCTCTCTCTCTCTCTCTCTCTCTCTCTCTCTCTCTCTCTCTCTCTCCCTCTTATTCTAATTATAATAATATTAATTACTATAAAGATTTTGCAATATAATCTAATGAAATTTTATCGTATACACTAAATAGAGAAACTATTGCAAGCAATGTCCGATTAGCAATTTTTTTTTTAATTTACAAATTTAGCACATAAACAATGTTTTTTCCTATTACAATGAACAATATATCAGATTGTAAATATATCAGATTTTTTTATAAAACTTATTAATTATAAAGAAATATATGACAAATGCATTACATTGATCATTCTTTCACTCTTTCTCATTATTTTTCTTTAGGATTAACGATATCAAGGATCAAGCTAATTGTCAATTATATTGAAAATTAAACATCATTTATTTTATGATGCGTGCGATCCAAGAATAATAAAATAATAAACCAAAGAGGGTTAAACTTAATTAGACGGTCATATCAGGAGAGTTAAGAAACAATGTTCATTATTATATTAGTATTATCTATATTTATTTTATTGGTATATAATTATTACGTGCATCATGGAAAAAGCGGGCGACTCTATAATCTTATACCGGGACCATCAGGTTTTCCAATTGTTGGCAGTTTGATCCACTGCTATGTTTCACAAGGTAATTACAAAATTTCTAATCTACTTACATTAATTGGCAAACGATCTGTCATTTACAAGCAAAAATTAAATTCGTAAATTCTCTATTCTATAGAACATTATACTTATCAAGATTATTACATGTAGATTACTTATATAAGCACTTCTGTTTGCAATAATTATCCATAATTAAAAATCTTTTTTCTTTATTATTATTTATTTATTTACAACATATTTGTATAAAGATGCACTAATATTAAAACTAAAATTAATCCCATAAAAATATTTGTGTATTGATATGTGTATTTATAATGTAATTCTCAGAGGAAATATGGAAATTCTGCTGTGAAATACTTGATCAGTATTATCCCGTTTTTAAACTCTGGGGTTTCTTCACATTTGTTATAAGTATCCGTCATCCAGATGATTTGGAGGTACTAGAAGAAATTAAATTGTTTGTAGACATTACGATTAACTAAATTTAGAAATTTTGCGATTCATACCAAGGTATCTGCTCATCAAAAACATTTTATAAAAAAAAATAAAGAAACAAATCGATCCGTCGAAATTAAGATCAAAATAATTAAGCTCAAAATACAGAGATATAATTAATAAATATATTTTTGTATGTAAAATTAAAAGATATAATAAATAGATAGTATATATGTATGTATATATCATGTATATATTGAGAGATATGTATATATTGCTTTCTGTTTGCGATGATTTCAGATAATTCTAAGCAGCAATAAGTACATCGAGAAAAATCATGTTTATAATTTGTTACATCCTTGGTTAAACACAGGTCTCCTCACTAGCACAGGTAATAATATGACATTAATATGTGAGTATATATTTTTTTACAGGGTTGGGAAGTAACGCGTTACTTGTAACGTCGTTACCGTTACAGTTACTTTTTTTGGTAACTGTAACGGTAACGACGTTACAAATTTCGTTTGTAACGAAAAAAGTAACTTCGTTACATTTTTCGGTAACGAGTAACGAATTTAACAGTTACTTTTATCGCTACTTTTTGCAAATTTACTGTGTAATTTTTATTCAACGAAATGTGTGGAATGCAGAATAACATGTACGCATCATTGGGCACATGTGAAAGAAAAAGAAGTAAACAAAAGCTGCGTTCATCAATACTGGCAACGATTTTCGGAACATAGAATAACAGTCTAACGTGATTGACTCTTACTTTTAGAATCAAATCAACAAGTGTTGATAAGACAACGAGCAGTTGTTTTACTGAACGCATTGTATGTAAAAATCAGGTTAGATTTTGTTTTGCTTTTCGGTAACTTCAAAGTCTTAAAACATTAATAATTGTGAAGTGTATAGATGTTTGTCGGAATTATAATGACGGAATTATATTTCTCACAAATATAATTCTTACAAATATAATTCTTACAAATCAATAACAAATAGTAAAAGGCAGTAAAGAGCCAACGCAGTTGTAGGGCGTGGATAAAATAATTTCCAAGGCAGCAAATCAATTTTAACAATCCTTTCGCTTTATTCCAATCGTTTCGGACTCAATTCGAGCCTTCTTCAGTGAATCTGATAAACACAAAGAAAAGATAAATAAATCAACTAAGGAAAAAATAAAAACACAATCTCAATAAATGCAAAAAAGAGGAAAAAGCATAGTCAGATGTATGCATGATCTATAAGAGCGACGCGACTTCGTCAAGGCTGGTCCATCTGAGAAAACACGATGCAAAAAGCCCTCTCAACGGTACAAAGCACGAAGAGCGATGCATTAACAAAATAAAACCAAAACTAGTCACAAATCTTAAAAAAGAGAAATTCATTAACACTAATTAAAGGCAACTCACTCACTCAGACAAGAGACAAACCAGCAAAAACGAAATGAAACAATCGACAAGCTCAAAATCGAATAGGCCGATAATTCAAACAGCAACGGTAATAATGTCATATTGTGGTCGGTAATAACAAGAGGACAAAGCCAAACCGAAAAACAACCCGCTAAATCTTGGGCATGTTTTCAACTATCGATAGGCACGAAGTACTTAATTTTTTACAGTATCGCTTTGGAGATTCAACGCATTTTTTTGGCGCTTAATATAAATCATTTCAGAAATGAGTCTTTTTCCTAAAAACGCTTCCTCATCCAAAATCTCGACATCATCAAAATCAAATGTGTGATTAAGCGCTCTATGTTCTGCAATGACGGACGTAAAATTCCTTCTATGTTCCTTGATTGTCGTTCTTGACAAGCGACCTGTTTGTCCTACGTAAGAGGCGTCGCAATCTGTGCAATTAATTTTATATACAATATTACTACGAGAATCATTCAGTAAACAGTCCTTGCCGACTTTAATAAATTTGCGCAAAGTATTTATTCCGGTGTAAGAAAGCCTGACATCGAGATCTCTGACGCAGTATCGAAAACGTTCTGATATGTTCTTCACATATGGAACGTTAAAATATGTAATCTTATTACCACCTCTCTCATCATCAATCACAATCTCAACATCATTTGAACCGTTGTCATGTTTGTTATTAAATCTATGAAATAGAATATTCAGTCGATCAACAATTATGTGAAAAATAAGAGAGAGCGGATATTCGTTGTTGAGAAAGATGTTAACAATAAATTCGAGATTGTCTTGATGAAATTTAGGATGAGAAAGCCAGAAAACTTTATCTATTAACCCAATGATCGTGCCCTTCTGGCAAAGAGGATGTCGCAACTCGAAGTGGAGGTACCTTCCCGAAAAAGTTGGTTTATGAAACCAATTGAATTCAATATGTCCATTGTTTAAAATAATAGTGATGTCAAGAAAATTCAAACGGTTGTCGACACCCTCCTCAACAATGAATTGCAGTATTGTATGGAACGAGTTAAAAATGTTCAGGACAACATTGAGCATTGAGGAGGGAGCCGCCAACACGATGTCGTCAACATATCTAAAATAAAACGGAAGGTCCATAGGTAGAGCTACGATAGCCCTTGACTCTAAATCTTGAAGCGTGATCTCAGCGATAATCGGGGAAAGAGGAGAGCTCATGGGCGTGCCAAATGTTTGTTAATAACAAACATCATTAAACATAAAAAAAGTGGAATTTAAAATAAAGCGAACTGCCATTACAAATTCATCGCGAGGTATCCGGCAATTGATTCCTATATGGTCCCATCTAACAACCAAACTATTAATGGCCATATCCAAAGATATATTGGTGAATAGTGAGACAACATCCAACGAAATCAATTTTACATCACCATCAATACGTTTGCCGTTCAGTCTCTCGACTACTTGCGCGCTGTTAATAATCTGACTATCAGGTCTCGGGATAGATTTATAAATGACGTCATGTAAAAATTTAGCGAGACCATAAAGCGGCGTGTTTTTCGATGAAACTATTATGCGTAACGGATTGTTCTTCTTATGAATTTTCGGCAGCCCATAAGCTCTCGGTAAAACGCCGTCTGTACAATTTAACGATCTGTACTTCGAAACAGAGATGTAATCACGAGCTCTCCACCTCGCAAGCATTTCATGAAGACTACTGATCAATTTATTAATCGGGTTCTTATTAACTAATTTATAAGTGTCTTTTTCAGGTGTCTTTATCTAACAAACTAGACATATTAGATAAATAGCTGTCCTTATCCAACGCGACTGTTATGTTGCCTTTATCAGCCCTCGTAAACAAAATGTCAGGATTATCTTTGATGAATTTTTTTGCAGCGTTAAAGGAGTTCAGAATAATTTTATCGGCTGGAGGCGTATATGAAGTAGAATTATGAAAGGAGTTTATAATGGGAAAGGATCTATTTCTCACAGTCATACGAACATCCACGGGCAGTTTGTCAATGCTATACTCCACGTTCTTTAATAATTCGACGATCGTTCTTTCCTTGTCGATAACCGGTAGACAAAATTTCTCTCCTAATTGTAGTAACAATTGAACGTCGTGCGGTATATTCAAAGAAGACAAATTCACAACCATTCGTCTTTTAGTTCTAAGACAGGAGCAACCCATGGCGAGAAAGAAGAAGGATCAAGGTCAATACATATGGACGGGGAAAAGGATCGGGGATATAAGGAAAAATTCATGTTGTTAAATTTTGGCAGAAGTTGAGCTGAATGGATTGTTACTACAATTAGGAGAGAAATTTTGTCTACCGGTTATAAACTCCTTTCATAATTCTACTTCATATACGCCTCCAGCCGATAAAATTATTCTGAACTCCTTTAACGCTGCAAAAAAATTCATCAAAGATAATCCTGACATTTTGTTTACGAGGGCTGATAAAGGCAACATAACAGTCGCGTTGGATAAGGACAGCTATTTATCTAATATGTCTAGTTTGTTAGATAAAGACACCTGATAAAGACACTTATAAATTAGTTAATAAGAACCCGATTAATAAATTGATCAGTAGTCTTCATGAAATGCTTGCGAGGTGGAGAGCTCGTGATTACATCTCTGTTTCGAAGTACAGATCGTTAAATTGTACAGACGGCGTTTTACCGAGAGCTTATGGGCTGCCGAAAATTCATAAGAAGAACAATCCGTTACGCATAATAGTCTCATCGAAAAACACGCCGCTTTATGGTCTCGCTAAATTTTTACATGACGTCATTTATAAATCTATCCCGAGACCTGATAGTCAGATTATTAACAGCGCGCAAGTAGTCGAGAGACTGAACGGCAAACGTATTGATGGTGATGTAAAATTGATTTCGTTGGATGTTGTCTCACTATTCACCAATATATCTTTGGATATGGCCATTAATAGTTTGGTTGTTAGATGGGACCATATAGGAATCAATTGCCGGATACCTCGCGATGAATTTGTAATGGCAGTTCGCTTTATTTTAAATTCCACTTTTTTTATGTTTAATGATGTTTGTTATTAACAAACATTTGGCACGCCCATGAGCTCTCCTCTTTCCCCGATTATCGCTGAGATCACGCTTCAAGATTTAGAGTCAAGGGCTATCGTAGCTCTACCTATGGACCTTCCGTTTTATTTTAGATATGTTGACGACATCGTGTTGGCGGCTCCCTCCTCAATGCTCAATGTTGTCCTGAACATTTTTAACTCGTTCCATACAAGACTGCAATTCATTGTTGAGGAGGGTGTCGACAACCGTTTGAATTTTCTTGACATCACTATTATTTTAAACAATGGACATATTGAATTCAATTGGTTTCATAAACCAACTTTTTCGGGAAGGTACCTCCACTTCGAGTTGCGACATCCCCTTTGCCAGAAGGGCACGATCATTGGGTTAATAGATAAAGTTTTCTGGCTTTCTCATCCTAAATTTCATCAAGACAATCTCGAATTTATTGTTAACATCTTTCTCAACAACGAATATCCGCTCTCTCTTATTTTTCACACAATTGTTGATCGACTGAATATTCTATTTCATAGATTTAATAACAAACATGACAACGGTTCAAATGATGTTGAGATTGTGATTGATGATGAGAGAGGTGGTAATAAGATTACATATTTTAACGTTCCATATGTGAAGAACATATCAGAACGTTTTCGATACTGCGTCAGAGATCTCGATGTCAGGCTTTCTTACACCGGAATAAATACTTTGCGCAAATTTATTAAAGTCGGCAAGGACTGTTTACTGAATGATTCTCGTAGTAATATTGTATATAAAATTAATTGCACAGATTGCGACGCCTCTTACGTAGGACAAACAGGTCGCTTGTCAAGAACGACAATCAAGGAACATAGAAGGAATTTTACGTCCGTCATTGCAGAACATAGAGCGCTTAATCACACATTTGATTTTGATGATGTCGAGATTTTGGATGAGGAAGCGTTTTTAGGAAAAAGACTCATTTCTGAAATGATTTATATTAAGCGCCAAAAAAATGCGTTGAATCTCCAAAGCGATACTGTAAAATTAAGTACTTCGTGCCTATCGATAGTTGAAAACATGCCCAAGATTTAGCGGGTTGTTTTTCGGTTTGACTGGCTTTGTCCTCTTGTTATTACCGACCACAATATGACATTATTACCGTTGCTGTTTGAATTATCGGCCTATTCGATTTTGAGCTTGTCGATTGTTTCGTTTCGTTTTTGCTGGTTTGTCTCTTGTCTGAGTGAGTGAGTTGCCTTTAATTAGTGTTAATGAATTTCTCTTTTTTAAGATTTGTGACTAGTTTTGGTTTTATTTTGTTAATGCATCGCTCTTCGCGCTTTGTACCGTTGAGAGGACTTTTTGCATCGTGTTTTTTCAGATGGACCAGCCTTGACGAAGTCGCGTCGCTCTTATAGATCATGCATACATCTGACTATGCTTTTTCCTCTTTTTTGCATTTATTGAGATTGTGTTTTTATTTTTTCCTTAGTTGATTTATTTATCTTTTCTTTGTGTTTATTAGATTCACTGAAGAAGGCTCGAATTGAGTCCGAAACGATTGGAATAAAGCGAAAGGATTGTTAAAATTGAATTTGCTGCCTTGGAAATTATTTTATCCACGCCCTACAACTGCGTTGGCTCTTTACTGCCTTTTACTATTTATTATTGATTTGTTAATTTAGAGGAGCCTTTAACTTTGTTTATTATATTTCTTAATGTTATGAGAAAAATCTCATCTTTGAGATTTTGTAACAACTTTTGTTTCTTATAATAGTGTGCAAGCACGTGCTCGCATAAGCTGCTTAGTTTGCCGGCATTATAGTCATTTTCCACATGGCATACGTATTGATATTCAATCTCAAAAAGATATTTGTATCTTAATCTGAAGATTATAGTAAAAAATAAAAAATAATGGAAGAAACAAGTACATCTCAATCTTCAAAGGAAATGGAATGTGAAATTCCATGGCCGGCATATTCTAAAGTTTTTCAATTTCGACCAAATCTTAGCAACGAAAAAAATTTTGCCTTTGCCTATAAATTTTGTGCAGGAGGAAAAATTAAAATAAACCTTGTAATATTTAATAAACCTATATTTAAAAAGTAACGAAAATTGTAACGACGCGTTATTTTTAAGTAACGGTAATGGTAACGAGTTACTTTTGAAAATTGGTAACGGGTAACGATAACAAGTTACTTCTTAGAAAAAAGAACGGTAACGGTAACGAGTTACTTTTAAAAAGTAACTTTCCCAACCCTGCTTTTTTATTACAATTTCTGATCGATCTGTTTCATCATAAAAAATTAAATAAAATGATACTTAGACTTGAATATTATCTTAAACGGTGAATTTATACAACTCCTTTGTTGTATAAGCTAGTAGATTTAAAAAAAATTTGGGTGTGATTATATTGAGAGATAATTTCGCCAAGATGCATGTATTCTCAAATAAATAGAAGTAATAGAGAGGTTTTATTTAAATCAAATTTTAGTTAAATCAAACACTATCACGTAATGGACTTATATGTATATATTAATATTAATGTTATATTAATATATTAATATTAATTATTTCTATCTGCTATTTCTATTCTATCCCGTTTCTGTTTCTGTTCTTTCTACTCTCTCTAATTTGTAAAGAATTAATTCCAAAATAATAACTAAATCCACGTTGATACTTGCAGTTTCTCTTACCGTAAAAATTCCATAAGAAGAAGTTTAAAAGATTATAAAACAATTTTGTGATATATAAGAAAAATTAGCGTACTATATTAATGTGTTATTTAAGGATTTATCAATAAACATTAAATTAAGAGAGATACTTTAATAAAGACATCTTATATAAAATATTATTTGTATTTTATTGCACAAATTTGTTTTTTTGTTTTAGGCGCTAAGTGGCACGCAAGAAGAAAGATACTAACACCTGCATTTCATTTTAATATGTTGAATCGATTTGTTGATATTTTGATCAAAGAGGGTGATTGCATGACAAAGTCTTTGAAAGATGTCGGAGGGACAGTTGTAAAAGATTTATTACCATTTGTCAGTGAACATACTTTAAACGCGATATGCGGTAAGATTTCTGTAAAATTCTCATTGTTATATGTATATGAGAATTTCATTTTAAATGATTATTTTTTAAGGTAAGGAGATAATTTTTATGTAGTATATCGATTTAATCGCGATAGATAATATTCGATTTTTTTTATACTCAAAGCTATCCTTTAAATTTTTGACTATTATTTTAATCGTTTATAATAAATGCATTTGTAGAAACTGCTATGGGCGTCTCCCTATCAAAACTCGGCACATTCCATCAAGAATATCGAAAAGCGATACACGATTTAATAGAATTGGTGGTTTATAGGTAATTTATAGGTATTAATTGGTTTATAGGTAATTTATAGGTATTAATTGATATACAATAAATCTATATAATAATGTGATGTATCTACGATTTTTTAAGTAATGATTATTATTATGATATATATTTTGAAAATAGATCAATTAATGAATAGTCATAAGAAAATAAACAATTAATATAAGACACCAAATCGCTTAAGCGGACAAGTTGCAATAAAAATATACTCTTCGTGCTCCACTATACGTTTTTGTTATAAGATAAATATTATTTGCAGTTTTTAATCTCTTAAAGTGTTATAAGAATTTGAAATATTAGAATTTTGAGAAATAAAGTAAAAATGAATTGTATAATAGAATCTAAGGAGAAATTGTCTTTGATCAAAAAAATCTATAGCTGAAACAAAAGTACAATGTTTTTAGAAGATTCTTTTTCATAACACATACATAATTTTCAATTTTTCATTTATTCTCTATATTTTATGACTATTTAAAGATTATTTTGATTTTATGATGCTTTTACAAATAACGTTTTAGGCTTTTACAAAATTATATTATTATTGGAATTATAATAAATGTTTCTTTGTCCAATAATTATATTATTATTGGAATTATAATAAATGTTTCTTTGTTGAATTACGAGCTAAAGCTTTATTAAATTAGTGAATTATTGAAGCTATTATAGCTTTATTGAATTACAATTATATAACTTTATTGAATTTAGATTCCTCAGGCCTTGGTTCTACAACGATATGTTATTCTCATTGTCGTCAAAAGGAAGAAAGCAAAAGAAACTCTTGAAAATATTGCACGGATTTACGGAAAAAGTATGTAATAAAACACCTTAAATTATATACTTCATACTTCATTTATATATAAAATAATATTGTTATTAATACAAAGATTCTTAAAAATTAAATATTGTATATAGATTATCGCAGAAAGAAAGCTTCATCACCAACTTACTAACAATCAGTATTTAAAAAATCTTGAAAGTAATGAAGAAACAGAAGATGTCGAAATATTTGGAAGTACGTAAGAGATCAAAATTTTTAATTTAAGTTTGACAGTGCAGTCAATATTTTAAATTATGCTTGTATCATTTATATTAAACACATATCCACTCGTAGTGGTTTGCTGCAAATCATTATTATTTGTAATAGAATTTAAATTTTAAACAAGAATTATATTATGAAATTAACGCAATATGCGAAAGTGAAATTGTTATTAATATGCTTGATTTCCAGTTAAAAAAAAGCGACTAGCCATGTTGGATCTTTTAATAGCGGCATCTCGAGAAAATTCTTTAACTGATTTGGACATCAGAGAAGAAGTCGATACTTTTATGTTTGAGGTATCTATTATTTTTTTAATTTTTTGTATACATCTCTCTCTCATAAGCATATATAACGATATGACAATATGATGATGATTACAGGCTCATGATACTACATCGATGGCTATAATATTTACTTTATTACTATTAGCTGAACATAAAGATATTCAGGTACTTATTTCTCATTATATTGCGATAATTATTTACATTTACGACTTTTTTTCTTAATAGTATGGACACCAAATTTTTGGTGCCATATATTTTATATATACATGGTGTTCTAAAAAGATATGTCAAAAATTTAAGGAGATATTCCTTACACCTAAAGGATGAAAAAATGTTATATGGACATAAATACGGAAATGTTTTTTTTGAGGTTATGTTGAAAATACTGTTAGCTGTATTACTTACACAAGGAAAAATTTAATTATTGTAGACAGCAATTATTTAATTAGGCTTATTTACATTTAGTTTTAATGTGACTTTGAGTATGTTACAATAAATGTTGAAAATGTTCATCGTTTTCCTAAAGCAACAAATACCTACAAGCAGTGATCGGATCTCAATCAGATAGACTTTTATTTGTGAGGACATTTAAAGACAATCGTACATACTACACCAGTGCGTGATATTCAAGATCTTCGTGACCGTATCACTGCAGGTTGCGAGATAATCCGCTGTACATCAGGCATTTTTGAATGTGTCCATGAATCGATGCGTTGATGTCACTACTTGTATTCAGAAAAATAGTGAACATTTTCAACATTTATTGTAACATACTCAAGGTCACATTAAAACCAAATGTAAATAAGCCTAATTAAACGATTGTCGTTTGCAATAATTAATCCTAAATTTTTCCTTGTGTAAGTAATACAGCTAATAGTATTTTCAACATAACTCTTGAAATAATCATTTCCGCATCTATGGTCCATATAACATTTTTTTATTCTTCAGGTGTGAGGAATATCTTCTTAAATTTTTGACATATCTTATTAGAACACCCTGTATATGTTACGAGCAAAGTCCGCAAGGTGTACAGTGTACAGAGTCGACATTGTGCGGGCGATGTCAGTATTGCATAACGTTTTTAGGCAAAGTCCGCTGAAATGGTTTATTAATGATATGATCCGGATTGATGTAGGCAAAGTCGACACTGCCTATTCAGCGATAGCAATGTCAATAACTCCTATTATATTGCCAACTTCGTCCAGTTCCAAGTAGGCAAAATCGACATTGCTAATTCTTCATGGGTGAAGCTGCGCGTCCGTATTGTGTAGTCCTGATTTCTCAATAAAACGTAAAATGAAAATTCAACATAAGGTATAAATATCTCTTCTACACATTCGCTTAGCGCATGAATACAGCAATTAATTAGTTTTAATTTGCGACTGATTAAAATAAAAAATTTTAATGTTTAGTTTTGACGAGCAATAATATCCTTAAATAACATATTTTATTTAACTGTACTTAATATTTACCTATTATATATTTATTTTATGTAACTGTACCTAAGTATAACGACTATTTTCATATGCTAGAGGAATATGTAGGAGAGTATGAATGTTATGTTGAATTTTTATTTTATGTTAATTTTATATTAATATATACGTTATATTTTTGTTTTAGTCTGCGACTGATTAAAAATTAAGGTCATTGTAATAATTAAAAATATTTGCGCTTTATTCTCATTTATATTCAAATAAATATTTTCAGATTTGTACCTAGTCAATCGATTAAATCATCACTTAACAATTGAGAAATCAGGACTACACAATACGGACTAGCGTAATTTCGCACATGAAGAATTAGCAATGTCGACTTTGCCCTCTTAAAATATTCGCAATACAATAGTGATTATTGACATTGCTATAGCCGAATAGGCAGCGTCGACTTTGCCTACATCAAACCGGGCTATGTCACTTAATAAACCATTTCAGCGGGCTTTGTCTAAGAACGTTACATAATACTGACATCGCCCGGCAATGTCGGCTTTGCACACCTTGTGGACTTCGCCCGTAAACACACACACACACACACACACACACAGACACACACACACACACACACACACACACACACACACACATGTATATATTAGTATATATATTTTTAAAGAATTAAAACAGTTGTAAAATAAATATATACAATTGATTTTAATTTCTTAAGAATTTATTTGCCTGCGCACGCATCGAAATTATAATAATTAGAAAAATATTTTAATTATTATCAATAACACAGGAGCGTGTGAGGGTTGAGGTTGATAATGTGATGCAAGAGGACGAAGGAAAACTTAATATGAGATCCTTGCAAAATTTATCATATTTAGAAAGATGTATAAAAGAAGCTCTACGTTTGTATCCCAGCGTGTTTATGGTATCACGACATGTTGTAGAGGATATAAAATTGAGTAATTAATTATTAGATTTTTGTATATATTATATATATTTTTCAACGTTTTACACCACAAAGTATATATCATCGTATGTAAAATAAGATTAATACACATTAGTATTTTACGAATATAATATTATATTATATCTTATTTTCCTCAAATAACTCTTATTTTCATACATTTTAGAATCTTTTAATTTTACAATATCCTTTTCAGAATCATGTGTCATACCGAAAGGGACGATCTTATTTCTTAATTTTCTCGGAGCTCACAAAGATCCTAAGTTTTGGCCAAATCCAGAAATATTTGATCCGGATAGATTCTTGCCTGAGAAGATACAGAATCGTCATCCTTATTCCTACTTACCTTTCAGCGCAGGGCCGAGGAATTGTATAGGTAAATTAACTATAATTTTATTTGTCCTCGCTTGTCGATCACTTTTAATAAATTTCGCATTGTAGGTCAACGGTTCGCTTTCCTAAAAATGAAAGCTCTGATTGCTCCTTTGGTGCACAATTTTTATTTGGAGCCTGTTGAATATTTAAAGAATATCCGGTTGAAAGCACATATGATAATTCGTCCTTCTCATCCAGTTCATATAAAATTCATTCCAATCAAATAGTCGTTTGATTGGAGTTTTATATGAACTGGATGAGATCTGAATTGTAGGTTATACTATATGTATACTTTCACGATTAAATGTAATGTTTATATATATATATATATATATAAACATTACATTTAGTCGTGAAAGTATACATATAGTACATCTAGTACTATATGTAGTATCTACATATAGTATATCTTACAATTCAGATTTCTAGATATCCAAATTTATTATGCATAAGCCTATTCTATCGTTATCTGCAATTGCAATGAACGCGTACATACATATAATGATTTATGAAGTGAATGAAATTAATATTTTTCTACGTTTCATTCAATACGAAGCAATGTAGAAAAAACACATTTTTGTTTGCGAATAAAATTTTGCTTGAAATTGTAAGTAAGTATAAGTTTAATTATATTAAGAAAATATCTAGTATTTCTATATATTTTAAAAAAATATTAGCACAATTAAGCTGTGAAAATTTGATTATGATTATATTTTCTGTAATCGCTGTTGTAACAACATATATGATTGAGTTTATAAAATATTAATATGTAATGTATGTGCAAATACATTTTATACATTATAAAACTTTTTTCTATAAACGATACTTAAGTATATAGAATTTTACAAAAAATTATTTTAATAAAAAATTGCTGTATTAAAAAAAATTGTGTAAAATAGTTGTCATAATTATCTACAAAAATTAATGATATATTTAAATAGAAAATTACATCGAGAATAAAAGAGTGCGATTTTATTTCATGTTTATCAACAGTGTGTGTGTGTGTGTGTGTGTGTGTGTGTGTGGTGTGTGTGTGCGTGTGCGTGTGCGTGTGCGTGTGCGTGTGCGTGTGCGTGCGTGCTAGCGTGTGTGTGTGTGTTAGATGTGATTGACTGCTGATAAATAATTAGATGAAGAAAAATTATATTTTTTTATTAAAATTATTTAATAAATAATTTTTATCTATTAAATTTTTTTATTAAAATTTTTATAAAAATTATATTTATATTTTCGTCGAAAGTTATTACATCTTTGTCGTAAAAGTCAGAATCCCGATTTCTTCAATGATGAACAGTTGATTCATGTAGCTCGTAATTTAAAAAATTTTAATTACTAAAAAACTCGACGCTGCTGAGTAATATACAAATAAATTTGGCATCCTTAGCTTACATAAAATCCACGTGATTGAATTTGGGCCACGGCACTTCGTACATATCCACTACATTGGGCAACGCGCGATAAAGCCTCTTCAGGTCCTTAAAAAAATTCTTTTGTAAATTATTACATGCGATTTCTTTTAAATTATTTCTATATTTAATATTTAATATAATAATTCTCTATATTTAAACTATTTATATTTATTAACTCTTTTCGATTTTACGTTAAAGCTAAATCTTGAAATAAAAAAATTTTAGTTAACTCAAGAAAGCTATTTATTCGTTGGGTACTAATTATTTACTTGTATTCAAAACGTCTGTTTGCTTAAGTATTTATTTACATATGTTTAAGTATTTATGCTTAAGTATTTATTTACATATGTTTAAAAAAATACATATGCTTAAAAAAATATAATTTTTAATTAAATATTTTAATTTTAATTTTACAAAATATTTATTAAAATGCATTTTTTATTCCCAAAAGTTTTAAATTTTTTAATTTAAAAAAATAATATATTTAATTTAATAAATTATAGAATATATTTTACGAAAATAGTATTTAAATATAAAAAATATATAAATGAAAATAATGTACTTAATATAACATGCATATTTAATTAAAATTAAATACTTTTGCTTAAATGAAGTGAACAATTCCTTGCATTTAAAGCAAAAGTTTCAAGAAAACAAATTTATTTGATTTAAAAAATTTTTCCCTCAGTGTATTTTTTAATTACTTACCACGATATTAACTAGCATGTCGCCATGACCATATAGTAACGCGATAGATACCGTGATACTCGGCAGATTGTAGTCCGGAGATTCAGCCGAATTGTATATCAATTGATTTTTTTTCGCGATCGTATTGGCGAAACTTGCCCGATTGGTATATCTGGACGTAATGCATAAGTGTCTTACTCGAGGTGCCGGCCAGGTCGTGATTCAGGATAACAGGCAGTAGAGTCTAACAATGAATAAAAAACGATATATCGGGTGTAACAAAAAGATCAGGACACCGGATCTCGAAAAATATGAGTTGTGCAAAAAAATGTTTTAGATAAAAGTTATAGGGCTTAAAATAGTCTATTCACGGATCTTATCAATTTGACCTTCGTGAGTCAGAATAGAAAGCGATTGATCCGATTTTGTAGAGAAGAATCGTCCCTTTCGGTACTTCCTCTAAATAGAGACTCTTCCGAGACAATTGCCGTGATAGAAAAAGTAGTCCCGTTATATATAAATGCAAAATGGATCTCCTTGCTCTCGAATATCGAGCCAATTAACTCGTTACATATTCGATTAGTACTATTATTTATCGTTGCTACGTTGATGGAGATAATATTTCGCATACATTTATTCTGACTCTCGTGAAAACAATATTTGTTTCGAAGAGAGGAGAGAAGCGCCCGACTTAAAATAAAAAGAATGGAACGGTTGATACATAGTTCTCTGTTCCGAGCAACATCTAAAATTTAAATTTATGTTATCACTTACATATACAAGATAATTTGCCAAATTTATAGCACAAAAAATGCACATATTTAAGGACTAAAGTATTTTTAATCATTGAATGCAACTTTTATCTGCTGTTCAAAAAATTTTCCATTAGTTTTCTAAAAAGAGATAAATGCCGATAATTTTTTTTCAGCATTTCGCTTTCTATTTTATTGCAATTTACAAAAATTTCTGCGAAGATTAAAAAAGAAATATATTTTATGTATCATTCTATGTAAAATTATATATGTTATATATTTATATATGATTTATATATATATATTTATATATTTATATTTATAGATTTATAGATTTATTATAGATTTATATATATATATATATATATATATATATATATATTTATATATTTATATATTTATATATGATTTATATATTTGAATAATTTTCCTCGCAACAAATTCGAACGATTCGCGTTACTGCTATCGAAAATATGCATAGATATATCGATAAACATACATGTAATAAATCGCAAAAAATCGATTGAAGAATTATATATATTCCTTTCGCTTTTATATTGTAATTTGCATATACTTGTCAATCCTTACTATTCATTGCAACAATTAATCATTTGTCACAATGATTACTTGAAAACATGCGAATCATACTAATTCACCCTTGCATTAATCGTAAATAATTCTAAAATGTTATAACTTTACGTTCCATCAAACTGACGATTGTGATTGCCATCAATAGCATCAATTAATGAGAACTTAGTGTAAAATATTCATCGTTTATTTAAATTGTCTACGTAATCATCCCATTGATATAGTATTATTCAAATTTTTTTTCCTCATAAAACTTTTAAGTGCTCTCTCGTACACAAATTTGTGCGCATTCTTAGCCTACATAAAATCTATGTGATTGAATTTTAACCATTTCAAAAAAACGGTTACAAACGTTGTGTTATTTGTAATAAAAAAATATAAAAATGTAATTTATTTTTTTATTAACAAGAAATAAATTCAATAGTTATTTTTAGCGTTACTTTTCAAACTTAAGTGCCATGATTTCTATCAAAGCAAACAAAAACACCAATAACATTATATTCTTATAAAAATTGAAAATAAATGACTTTGATAAAATTTAATTCTTTTTATTTTAAATCAGATTATGTAATCTTTGCATGTTAAAAATGAATTAGACTTGTAAATTAGTTTACCAAATCAGGAGATTTTGGAATTATAAATTACAACGTAATTTTTCCATCAATTAATATAAATCCTATGTATTCATGTTAAAAAAATAATGTTATGATACGCTATCTTTTAATTATTTATTAATAGCTTACTTCGAATTATTTTATATATTTTTAGGTATTTTTAAATATTTTTAACAGAGGTTTAGAACTTTAATAAAATTGAAAATCTTCTTGTTTTTTTTTAAATTAAAATATAAAAATGATATGTTCGATTATTAATTATCTAAAAATTATAGATACCATATCATCAGAATTTCAAAATTTAAAAATTTAAAAATTATAATACAATATAATCTAAAAATATCTCTCGACATTGATAAGGGAGAAAAATTATGCATTTTTCTCCAAATATTATAATTACAAACCGACAAATAAAATTTATAAAATTAATTTATTGAAAAAAATAATGTTACAAATATAAAATATAAAGTTTATTCCTTTTATATTAAATTATTTTTTAAATTAAATATCCGTTAAATTCTAATTAGATCACATTAATCATATTTTTTATCCTTCGCAGAAATCGCCATCTAGAAGATTAACATTTTTTAAACATATTGGAATAAAATCATAATTTTTCTTATCACATTAGATGTTGTCATTACAATAATTCTCTGCACGGATAATTTCTGATGTACAAACAATTCTGTGATTGTAATTCTATACATAATATCTATCTCATTCGGTGACTTTAAGTATGATTAATGCATGACTTTTATTTATTTTCATAACAAAAGTATTCTCCAATACATAAGTTCCTTGATTCTTCAGTACGTGTGAAAAAATCGAAATTCTCCTTCTCTTTATCTCAAGAAAACAAGTATATTTTATTAATTTGTCTTTACATGAATCGTAAATAATAAATAAAATATATAACATAACTTTATGTTTCAACAAATTGAATGATTCTGATTGTCATCATTCGCATCACTATTAATCACAATTTAGTGTGAAATATTTATCATTTATTAAAACTGACTTTTGTAATATTATCCTATCAATATAACATTGTTTAAATTTGTATTCTTCATAAGCTTGAATGCTCTTTCATACACGAGTTTGGGCGCATCCTTAGCCCATATAAAATCCAGATGATTGAATTTGGACCACGGCACTTCGTACAGATCCACAACATTGGGAAGTATGCGATATAATCTTTTCACATCCTTGAAGAAATACTTTTGTCAGTTATTGTTTTTGTCAGTTATTGCACGATTTCCTTTAAATTATCTTTCTGATTTTACGTCAAATCATGACTTAGTTACACAATTAACACGAATAAATCTCTGCTACGTATTACTTACGACGATATTAACTAGCAAGTCGCCAGAACCATAGAATAATGCGCTAGGTACAGTAATATTCGCCAGATTGTAGTCCGGAGGTTCAGCCGAATTATATATCAATTGATTTCTCGCGCGACCGTAATCATACTTGCGAAACTTGCCCGAATGGATTTCTTGAACATAGTGTTCCATTGCTTTAACCGAGACGACGTCCAGGAAGTCACTTAAGATGATGGGTTGCAAGGTCTAAGAATAAATAGAGATACTAATAAAAATATATACAAAGATATATGTTAAGATAAAACTTCTTTCTACAGCAGTCTCTAGTCGAGCAAGTTAAAACATGATAATCGAAGTTTGGATGGAATTATACTTCGATCACGAAATTATGTACTCACGTAATTAAATTGTTCGCGATCATCACCCCATATTACAGACATTATATTGTAACAGATCTTTCCGGTGATATTTTGGTCGCAGATATTTTTCAAAAGGAATCTCACAAAATCGCTCTGGAGAAATTCGCCATGGAAAAACAATCGCAATATCTGTAATTGCATATCTCTTAATCGCGATGTAATTTACTTGAAATTTTACTTTATTAAAGTTTTAACGATATAATTTTAAGAATAAATTAGGAAATTTTTATCTAGTTTTTTCAACAAATTACCCTAATTTATAAAAGCTTTGAGAATTGCTTCAGTTTTAATTTTAATTCGTCAAAGAATATCTTGTCAAAATTTGAAACCATATATTGAATATATGCGGCATAAACAAACAGGATGTGAAGCATGAAAAGAGATGTTAGTTTATGACTGTTTAAAATTAATTTCTTTGAAAATATGTAAAAAAGAATTCAGTGCATTTCTCATTTATATTACATTGTGGGACAAATCTTCTTTTTCTATTTTGCAAAAAATTTCTTTCATTCTACCGATAAAACAAAAATTGGAAAATAACACATTAACACAATATTATATAAAAGACAATAAGCAGCAAACAATGGAGATATGATTGTAATGCAAGTATTAATGTGAATCGATTATTAGATTTAAGTAGCTAATCAAAAATATCGATTTTGCTAATGCTAACGTTATGTAGCTTACATTTTTTTTATAATCCGTAACATTTTTTTTTATTTCTAACGTCGTTAACTTTATTTTGGTTTCTTTAGATAACAGTTTAAAAACTTTATTTATAATTAAAAGAAATATAAAATGTACTATATTTTTTATATTGTTTTTCAATTTAATTAGTTATAACACGATAATAAAATTTATATATATGACTTTTAAGATCACTATTATATTATTTTACTTTAATCATTCTCCTGATGGGAACCAAGAATCGTATCGGACTTTGCATATGATTTAGAAAGACCGGTCCGAAGTTGAACATCATTTTCACCATTCGAGCGATTTCTGGACGCTCTGATGCCATTACGTAAAAACACGTTGTGCCCATAGAATGACCAACACATGTGTGCAACGGTTGGGATCTCAAGTTCGTAATAAATGTAACCATCGCGGATACATCATAGATGCCTATTTCGTCAAAGCTAAAGAAAAATTTAATCTATAAATCAATATAAAATATAAAATATATAAAATATATGTAAAATATAAAATATATAAAATATATGAAATATGTACATATCACACATAAACACACACTCAGAGAAAATAAATATATTGTATGTATATAATATTTATATAATATGTGTATAATATGTATATTAAATTACGCACGTAATATAAGCAGAAACTAAAATTTTGCACAAAAAATGTACATAAAAATCAAGAAAAATAATAATAAATGCATTATATTGGCACAATTAAATGTGAGGTCTTATCTTAAATGATTATCCTATGATTATCTTAAAGACAATGCATTTTCAAAAGTGTAAATAAATATATATAAAAGTTCTTGTGTATCACGTCAAATTATAATGATGTTGTAACAATTATTATTATCTTATTTTTATAACACATTCCTATTTTATGTTGGTACCTGAAATTCCAAAATGTCGGATTCGACGGAGATAGAGAAATATGTGTCTTCGAGTAGGTAGTACCATGAAAATTCCCCAACCAAACATTGTATCCCTGATCTGCTAGTAGATAAGCTAAAATAAAAAAGGTGTAATTTTATATTATATATAATACTAATTTCTAAATTTTTTAATTTTTTCTTACGATAGAAATAAAATTAACAATGTTATATCAGTTTTGCTATACACACTGAGAAAAAAATCTGGTTGCATTAATTAGATTTCTGGTAGATTCACCAGTATGTCTGTTAGAAAATGGACGAACCAGAATTCTTGTAGGAATTACTAGATGAATCTGATTAATTTCTTCCTGTTAAATTTACTAAATTTTCTGGTTAATAATACTAAATTTACCAGCATCTAGACGTTTAAAATTTTTTCCATCTAATCTTAAAAGTCTGTTTAAGATTAATATTCTGAATTCCAACAAGATTATTGGATAAATTCAATCCAGATTATTGAATAAATTATTTTATTCAGTATATATTTATTTGTTGGAAATTAAACTGATAAACAATGATACAAGAAGAGGATGCAACTCAAACACACACAATCAGAGAGCGTCCTTTTTCTGGCACTACTGCTCGTAAGAGAAAAAAGATATCCTTTGGATTTAATGTTAATACTACATAGTTCTTTATATACATTTCATGGAAAATATTGAATACGAGTTAAGTTAAGAGTGGCTCGTCGCCTAGCGGCAAGCAAAGAAATTAGTGTAACAAGAAATTTTATAGATCCTACCAGAAAATACTAATTAAATCCTTATATTAAAATCTATCAAACATTCTAGTTATAAAAAATCAAGTCTTATGACAACTAGAAATTCTTATTTGATTTAACCAAAATGTCTTTAATCATATACGTTTTGTTGGTACAATCAAACGATTTTTCTCAGTGCATGTATGCGTTTAAATATTGGTCATGATCATACGGAATGCTTTGTCTTTGCCAGAAATAAGTCATTTAAAGGAGCTGCATGTAAGACCGTGCAACAGCAGCACGGGTAAAGAATCGTTGTCACCTGAGATACGATGTAATGTCAAAAGATAGCCGTCCTCCGTCATTATAACGTGAGCTTCCACGGGATACCCAGCTTTTCTTATCATCTCCGGCTAAAAGAAAATAACTGTGTAAGAAAAAAGAAAAGTTAATTTAAACTTGAAATAAATTTGAACGACGAAAAGTGCCTGTTGTATTTATTTTCAAATAAATGGGGGCAATTACATAATACTAATAATATAAATATGACTTCTATAATACAAATAATATAAATATATTTTAATGTCTAAAAAATATAAAAAATTAATGTGTTAAATTATTATAATAAAAATAATCATGAAGTTACCATTTAAATCAAAATCAAATGAGCAACAATTTTAATTAGTGTAATTATGCAGAAATTTGTAGATCCTTTCGCGCAATAAAATATGATACTCGATAAAAATAATTTCAAAGCATATTTTAAAAAATTAATTTCTTTTACATTCATATTTTAGATTAATTTTTAATTAAATTTAAATCAATTTGAAATTTAAATAAATATTTCAAAAAATATTATTTAAAAATATTATTTTAAAAATAATATTTCTTAAATAATATTTTTAAACATATCATTATATATTTCAAGAAAAATAATCTTTAATGTTAATTGCGTAGTATTAATTAATATTTATAAGTATTAAATCTACTCTTAAAGAAATCCTTCCAAAAAAAACATTACAAAGGTAAAAAAAATACGCCAAGTACATAAAAAATATTCCACCTTGTATGTAACAAAACGTTTAATAAAAAAAATACCCTTATAACAAATAATTTATAAAAATTTTCCCTCAAAAAATATAATATATAATTTTCCTAAAAAAAATCAGAATTAAATATGAAATCAATGATTAATTAGCCAAGTACATTGAAGCAATTGATAGGGATTTGTAATTTGAAATATTTGTCACAAATTCAATCTTGCATTTATATATTAGATTCTCGACAAAATAAAAATGAATTTCAAAATAAGTTCCAAGTAAATTTGGAACTAAAAAAATTAAGACCAAAACAACTTACAAAAACTTGGCGTGCTCGGGTCACATTATAATACATATAATTTTACAAAGTTTGCGAATTATATACCAGTAATTAATTTCATTTAAAAAAATTATGTGAATTTTAATACTGAATAATATACAAATAAATTTGGCAGCGTGGAGTTTTTTAGTAATTAAAATTTTTTAAATTACGAACTACATGAATCAACTGTTCATCGTTGAAGAAATCGGGATTCTGACTTTCACGACAAAGATGTAATAACTTTCGACGAAAATATAAACATAATTTTTCTTCATCTAATTATTTATCAGCAGTCAATCACAACTAACACACACACACACACAGACAGACGGACAGACACGCACACACACTGTTAATAAACATAAAATAAAATCGCACTTTTTTATTCTCGACGTAATTTTCTATTTAAATATATCATTAATTTTTGTAGATAGTTATGACAACTATTTTACACAATTTTTTTTAATACAGCAATTTTTTATTAAAATAATTTTTTGTAAAATAATTCTATACAATAATGTTTTACTACTGAGATGACTCGACTTCTTTTTTTTACCTTTTTTTGAAAAGGTAATTTTTTTAGGATAAGACTGGTCATGCATAGAGATTTAATAAGCCATTCTAAATTAACCGTACCACCTCTCTATCTCACTACGAATCAAAATTAGGGTAAAAATATACTTTTAAAATATATTTTTAAATACCTTCTGTCACTTTTTAAAATTAAAAATGGCGCATCCAATATGGACAATAAAATCACAATAAAAAGGCATAAAAATTAGAAAAATTTATCAAAATATGTAACAACTGTATTAGATATTTCTTTACAATATTTTTTTGGCCAACCGAACCTGACATATGTCAGTCTTTTCAAATTTCAAGATCATGGATCTACCATATTGATGTCTATATAAATTTTCTTTAACGTAAATTTTCTTACAACGTCATACTTATATATCTCAGCGAAAAAAAATCGTGCAGCGGTAATCGAAAGTGGATTTGAAAGGCGAAAGTGAGTATTATACGATGCCATTGGCAGAAATATTTCAAAAAATTTGGTTTCCCCACAATAAATTCATGAAAATGGTCAAAAAAGCGATTTTTGAGCCATTCAATTACAAATTACTCAAAAACGTGACGTGTTACGCAAATTCGACGGCCAGATTCAGATTTAGCGCACAAAATTACGTCGGAAATCATTATTGCATCTTAAAAAAAAAATCTCGCAGGCCTGTGTTATCGAATTTATTATTAATAATAATTGAACGATTATCATGATTTTCAGTTAGATTAATTTTTCGATTTTATAATTCGTGTTAATATAATATTAATAAAACGGAGCATTTGTAATGCATGAATTTGAAACTTTATAAAAATATCGAACAAAAATAGTACTTCTCTCGTGTCTTCTGTTTCTTACGATATGTTAAAAAGTGCATTTCTCATGTAATTATTCCGGCAGTGTCGCGATCGTTCCATATATAATTAATTATTATTATTCGTATTTTCGGAAGTAAATGTGAGTGCGACGAAAAAATAGCAAAGGATGAAAAAGAGAGAAAAGCATCGAACACATACAGAGCAACGAAATATAAAATGTAAGTCATTTATAAATTATTTATCATTCATGTTACTTTTAGACATATTGCTTGTTCCTTTTTCGAATTCATTCTTAATTATCATCTAACATATAACGTATATATAAAAAATATTTTAGTTTTTATTTTAAAATATTCCAAATAATGTAATAAAATCTTTTTCATGTTAATTAATATTTCAAGATAGTTCAATATTTTAAAAAATATTTCACAATAATGTAATTATTATATACTTTATAAAAATAATGTCATCTGTATAAATGTTTAGATATACATATATTTTTTTGTTTTTTAGATATAAAATACCCCTAAAAAAACCTTATAAAGGTAAAAAAATACTCCAAGTACATAAAAAAATCAAAAAAGCTAAAAGAGTGATAAAAATTAAATATTTAAAAACCGATATGAGATCAATATTATTAGCCAAGTACAATAAATTATGTGATATTAATTCGTAATCGATACTAAATGAGTTAAAATTATTTTAATTCCTAAAGCATTTTTTATATGATGTATATAATTTAAAAAAGCTTTACACAAATTCTAAATCGCATAAATGACCTTCAGGTTGAAATAAGATATGAAAACTTGGAATTATTTCTGCAAAAGATATATACGCATTTTTAGAAATCTTTACTAAGGATAAGTCGCGTATTTTCACAAGGTTTTATTTTCTAGATATTAGAGTTCACTCCCAAGGGGTGGTTTTGGAATATTGTTATATATGACAAATTAGTCTCCTCAGAAATCTTATCTAACGGCACAGTTTTTATATCTTTGTGATACCATTTTCGAGATAGATTAGATTTTACCCTCAAGAGGTTTTTGAAAATTGTTATACGATAAATTAATCTCTCACACGTATACATACACATGTACATAAATGGTTTTGTTTCTTAAAGTATTTTTGCACACTAAAGCGAATAATCATATATGCACGGTATGAACGCAGCTTGAGGGACAAAACCACTTTGAATGTGTGCGTGCGAAGATGGGTTCATGAGTCTGAATCTGAATCTTATGATGGAGGAAAACGAAAAATGTCACATTTCTGGCATGCGATTATCATTCTCATTTCTCGAGATTGACTGCACCAATTTTATTCAAACTGATCACGTTGCTTGATTGTTGTAATTAACGTACATTAATTCATTGATAATTTGGATTTGCATTTAGAAAAAAATATACTTAAAACATTTTAACTATATCTTCTGAAAAATTATTTGCAGATTTTAAAAACACATTTATTGTTTTATATAAATAATTCGCAAAAAATGTTATAAAAAGACACAATGCTTACTTAAACGAGAGATACGTTGTGTTACATTTTTAATCAATAAAAATTTTCATTGAGTTTAAGATAGTATGTTTTATATATACAATTAGACAGCTTTCTTATCCAGATTGCTTTTATCTTTCGGTCGACATTTCGCATATAGGAACGGAAATAATAAGAAAAAGAGTTAAGCAGTTATGTATTAATATGAATGCTGTTGCAAATCTAAGGAGCAGCAATTGTGATAATAATTATTATATATAATATATACAATATAATATTACATACAATATAATTATTATATAATTTTCTCATTGTTATTTATTATTCTAATATCTCTGAATTGAATTCCAATTTTCCTTTATTAAAGAAAATGATCGTCGTGTACCTAATCTTTTATTCAATATCATTCATATAAATAGACATTACAATGAGAAAAAAAAATTTTATTTTAACTAAATGTTTACATACTTATTTCGTACATGACGTAAAAGTCGGAAGCGCTATAATGAGTCAGATTACATTATTGAATGATATAATCAATCCCACACACAAATTATATAAAATTATACATAATATAAATTTATCTCTTTCTCTTTCATATATATAAATTATATTATATTATAAATTTATATAATGCAACCCCCCACGGGTACACCTTGACGCGGTGGGGTGGCTCAATACTTGGATTTTTTTATTTACCAGATTTTTAAAAGTTTATATCTATAAGAAATATAAATTATTTTGTAATTACGTGATTTATAACATTAAAATATATCTATTTAAAAATAAAAATTAATTCCGCGCAATAATTAGTTTTAAAATTAATTAGTTTGAACATTGCTTTATATAATAGATTTTCTTTTATATTTTTATTTATCGTTTCTATTTGCGAATTTAAATTTATGTACTGTATTACAAAATAAATTTCAAATTATTATATTATATATAAAATTATATATAATATAACCCTCCCATAGGGTACACCTTGTCGTGGTGGGAGGGCTTAGTACTTGGATGGTGCCTTGAGGTTTATCATAAATTTTTCTATTTATGATAAATCTTAAGGTGCCTGAATGGGAAGCTAAGTACCCTTTCGCGTCTTCGGTGACGTCTACGGTCGCGGACGGCAAACGTTTCGTCAACACGTCGCGTTTTCCCGTTGTAATAT